GAGAGAGAGAGAGAGAGAGAGAGAGAGAGAGAGAGAGAGAGAGAGAGAGAGAGACCCTCCTAGGGTTTCACCGCCGTCTTTGAAATTGTATATAATCCCGCGACGTGTCTCGGACTGAGCCGCGTGAGCGCTGAGATCGTCTGTTCGTTGATGACCGCCGTTAACGGGATTCGCCGAACGCGTTTCGGGTCCATCACAGAATCGGCCTATTTTTATTCCGTTCTTTTCGATGTAATTCGTCCGGTTTTGACTGTGTCTTTGATCATCAAGTCTGTAGCTGCTGCGCAAAATACACCTGTATTACGGATCTTTATTGGAGTTCACTGTCATTCTCAGACTTCCCGAATCGAAATTTTCATTCTACCTTTGACTTCAGTATTCCATGTAACTGCTATTTTGATATTCTAAAGTTTACATTAAGTTTACATTACTCCCTTGATTCTATTTAATCTAGAGAGAAAAGATCTAAAAAGTATAATATTTTTATTTTGTGTATATTAGTAATATATTTACTTAGATCAAAATTGTTTTATTTAAACAGAATAAATAATTGCTTTCATGAAAAGCTAAAGTCTTAAGAAAATGTTTTCTTATTTGAAGAACATTTTATATTCATATAAGTAAATATATTGGTACCTATCAAATAAATATTTATTTGTTAAATATTTTTTCTTTCAATGTATAGTTTTGTCAGTTTAAAGTCTCTTTAAAATTTACAAGTAATTTATGCATTTTTAGAGACATTAAGTACGACTTCAGTTTTCACGTGAATAAAACCTACACTGTGATCCTTCAGAATATTGAACAGTTCAGATTGAAAATTGGGCTAGAATTTCGACTTGGGTTGCGTCATCGAAATGATAATATTTTTGTTTTTTTCTTTTTTTTTTTAAACATACACACCGAATGGCGTCGCGCTGCCGCAGCAGATTCGTGGGTAGATTGTCCTGAACTGCACTGCATACCAATTAAATGCGTTGTTTTCCGTGGAAAATTACCTCAGTGATTGCATTTAGATTATATGTAGATACTTATCATTTCTTGTCCAACTGTGTCTTTTAAGCCGGCAATTTACATACGGGCGAATACGCTTAACAAATTCCGACGTGAATGTTAATGATATGGACGCAAATTAGAAGTTGATGTAAGCTTCGTTTAACTTCAAGATGACGTGGACGGCAATTTGCATGGCCATCTATAAATACACCCGCGTCTTCCGTGCGTTGCGTGAAGCATGTTAAATTTCGTGCGAGCAATTCGACAATGTAACGTAAACGTTTTAATACGCGGGCCGCACGAGAGACGAAATATTCGCGAAAAATTCCTCGCGTCTTTATGTCGTATCATACATACGTACACGGTACATACATGCGCACACATGCACCACATACACATAAACACGCACATACACACAAGTAGTTGTACATTATGCGGACGCGTTAATAATTGTTTCCAGAACATGCAGAGTTGCGCCGGCTTCAAACCTCGATATTAAGGCCTCGCAACGTTGTTGCACTAGCATCGCCCCTAATCTTATCTTATCCTCCTAATGCCACGTCGGTAAGCGCTGGTACTTTGTGTGTAACACGCGCTCGTAGGAGTATCGAGCGGTGCGACAACCTCTCCTCGCTTTGCGTTTTGGAGCGATTCTAAGAGAATTCGTAACATCTATAATATGTTCCTCCACGATAACCCGGCTGCAAACCAAAAACGAATCGCTGTGCTCGCGCATCGGTTTGATATCGAGATCATTTCAATGAGTGTGTAACGGTGTGCAACACATTTCACCACTACGACCGACCTCCACTAAATTGACGTCAAGAAATCTTGGACCCTTTTGTATTTTCTATTTATATCGGTGCAATCTAATTGTCACGCAAGTTTCGTGGGCAGATCGGCTTACATCATTCGTCTCGCCCACGGCTTTGAAAACAACGCGTGAACGTGTCAATGTTCCGCGAATGGCTTGCATTCTGATTAACAATGCCAGTCGGACCGCGACTCGTGTCTCTAGACGATTCGATCTGTCGAGATCGATACGATCGTACGCGCAATGCGAAGGAAAGTAAAAATGATTCACAGCTGTCCATTCATTATTTAACAAACACCACCCATCAAATTTGCGGTTTTCCAGTGAACGCGTATTTTATTCCGAGGAGGAGGACAGAGAAAAAGAGGGAGAGGCACGCGCCTTGTATTATTGATCATTCTTCGTCATTATTCAATTTGCTCGTGGATGTATATCGTCTCGTGCCGGATGTAGTGAGCGAGAGGTAGAGAGACAAAGAGAAAAAAAGAGATGACTCGTAGGAGTAGTTGAGTACCTTGGACGTTAGCGTTAGTCTGGAAAAGTGTTACGGAAAAAGTGAGAGTTAGAGGCAAGATTTTTTCCCCTACTTCTCGTTTATGCAACACAAACGATACAAAATACCAGATTGCATGTGCAATCGTGGCAAAGAGAAGTTAATACTAACTTAGTCCGCGCTGGAGAGACACCCAAGTCGTTGACGTCTCACATATGTATGTCGTATCGCTAGAAACGTATAATTACGGCGATAATGAAGACGCATGTAAATGTGCGCAATTAACATCTCGTACCGTGCAGCCGAAGAAAAAAGGAACGCTTCGTCGTTGTAGTGACGTGCAACACAACTCGGAAGTAAGAGAACCGGTGTGTCCTAGACTCTCGCGTCCGTGTCATTTCCTTTTTTCCTTTTTTTTTGCGCAACGCAGAAGCGAATTCTAGCGGTTGCGCGCACGCGTGCACCTATTCACTCGAGATTGCACGTAGAAAATATTTTTTCCACTCGCGCTGCGCGGAAAGAAGAGTCCTCCGGCCGCGGCTACTTTTCGGTTAAGCGCTTCACGCCGGATTTCGCTTCTTCTGCCGCACGGTTGTCCGACTTAATTGCGTCCTCGTAGCGCTAACAGGCGGCCCAGCTCGTCGGTCACGCGCGGATAAGAGAAAAAGTCGCGCGCGGATAAGAGAAAAACGCGGTCGGTCGGTCGCTCGCCCGGTCTACCGCCGCGCGCTCGCTCGCTCGCACATGGACGGGACTTTGTGACGATCTGGATCGCTTTTTTTCGCACGAACTATGCCTTGGCGGTCCGAGAAACGCGAGCGCGCATTAGGTAACTCTCGCGAATGGATCGTCTTGGCGACGCGCAGATTCACCGCGTACGCTAACCTGTCCAGTAATCGAGCAAATGAACAGCTTGCAGTATTTGTTATAATAATAAGATATGTGACGTACACTTTATCAGATTCAAGTGAGTAACTACACTGAAAGAAAAAGAATGATTGCTCTGATTAAAATTATAATCATTTCTGACCCCAACCAGATTTTTTACAGTAAAATAGTAACACGTATGCAAAATCATTATTATATAATAAAAAGAATAATTAAAAAGTGCCTTCACTATAATTTACAGTAATCATAGTTAATCATAGTTGCAAATACTAAACATTTTCTTCTCAGTGTAGACGCGTAACTCACAGGTTATGTGATTATGTCAAAAAAGTGCGTTACAGAAGGTTAACTTGGCTTCATTTGTTCGAGTATTGGACTTTGATGTTTGAATGTTCACTTACTCGACTTCACTTAATCACCAATAGGTCACAGGTCGCTATGTAATCCGCCCGCGGATTTCGCACCGTGTCTCGTCCTCGTAAATTTGCATTTGCACTTGCAACTTGATCAATTTGTCAATTTATATATACCTTTCCTCTGTCCCGCAATTTTGTACACCAAAGGATTCTGTTCTCATTAATTAAGTTTTAAAATTGAAATTGAAATTGAAGTCGCGAAGAGACACGTCGATAATGTTTCTCTGGTGATCGCGGTGCCCCTCCCCCCCTTGCGGTATCCACTGATTATCGATACGAATTAATTACATCAAGAACCCCGGCTGTGTTCCACTCGAGATTTTCGCAACGCGCGCGCCTCCTTTCGCAAGCGTCGAGACGGCTTTCGTAACAACGCGAGCGCGTCGAAGAATAATTTATCGGCTCTTCGCAGAAACGAATCGGGACACGGGGAACTGGGGAGGGAGAGGGGGTGAGAAGGAGGGAGATGGTTGTGCGAGGCCCGAAAGATCGTTGATCGTTAATTAGCATGTCCGTGCTCCAGAGATCGTCGACGGCGTCGCTTTTGCGAAATGATGCGCGCACGCCTCTCGCCAACATTATAATATCTGGCTCTCGCGTACTCTATGCGTAATTGCCGTAATCTTTGGAAACCACTGTTTAAGTGCTCTCTCGTTTCTCTTTTCAGACATCCCCTGTTCCCGCTGCTCGCGCTCATATTCGAGAAGTGCGAACTGGCGACGTGTACGCCGCGCGAACCTGGTGTAGCGGGTGGTGACGTCTGTTCGTCCGAAAGCTTCAACGAGGATATCGCCGTATTTTCAAAACAGGTGAGTCCGTCACAAATGTGTTTGAATGCATGCTATTTGTTTGCGCGTTACGCGCGTCGTTGTTGTAGCTGGAGTCGACGATTAGAATCGCGAACGCAAGCTCGACAGGTGAGCAATGACAACCGATAAAAGAGCGAGAAGCCGGGCTCGATATGTGTACTTTATCACGTGGATCGTGTCCCGTTAGATTCTCCAGCTCCCGCGCTGAACGAAATCCTCGCGGGGGAACGTTTCATTCTGTCGTGCGATTCTTCCGTGAGAGAATGTCCCGGAGCGATTTTCGGGCATTCGCATGAGTCACGGCGCGACTCCGTTTCTCCGTCCCGCAACAGTAGATCCGCGTGTCTCGAGCATCGAGGCAGGACCCTACCTATTCGCCGTGGGACTTATTTTTAGGATTACCGTTGAAAGAAAGAGAGAGAGAGAGAGGAGAGAGAGAGAGAGAGAGAGGGGGAGAGAGAGAACGAGGACCTCGGGTATATACAGCTCCTAGACCGGCAACGAACGGAAGACTCGCTCACGCGTTTCCCTCCTTCCTATTTTTTCTTCTTTCCCCTGAGCAGCTCACCTGAGGCAGGTCCCCCCAAGGACACGCGTAGGTAACCCGAGAGCCTGCGGGGCCGCATGCCGTGAAACGATTTGGACCTTTTAAAACGTACCATTTTGCCGTCTTGCCTGCCAGAACCGCGCGCACGTAGATCCTCGGTTTTCTCGAAGGTCTCAGTTCACTCCGAGTGCGCGTTTCCGCGTGCTTTCGACTAACCAACTCAAATATCATCACCGTGTATGCTCTCGCGCGGGAAATTCGGCGCATCGTAAAAGCTTATCTACGGTGTGTTCTTTGCTTCCTGTTTCTTCACCTTTGCCTTTTTCAGACTTTTAAGCCTGATCTACAATATGTTCTTTGCGTTCTGTTTCTTGTATTCTATCTTTTTCTGGTTTAAAGTTTAAGGTTTGAGTCAGAAAGAGATAAAGAGAAAGAAGCAGGAAGCAAAGAGCATATTGTAGATCAGGCATTAAGCCTTAAGCCAGAAAACGACAGAAGTGACAGAAAACGGAAAGAAAAGAGTACATTGTAGATTAGAACTGAGACTCCTGGGTACTCGTCGTGGCCATTCTGACCTGTGAAGCAGAAGCGAGAAACAATATGACGAAAGTTCTTGCACATTGTTTTCAATTTGGACAAAATTGTGAAAGAAGACGAGCTAAAGAGAAAAAGTGTCACGTCAATTTCGCGGCTATTTATTGCTCAAGGAAAAAGGATAGTTTTCAGAGCGTGTTACAAAGTATGCTTAAGCGATTTCGTACAAGCTTTCATACAAATATTCTTTCACTTGAAAATTTCTGGCACACAAGAATTTCTGGTATGCGTTTTGTCATCCTTCTGACGTCATCAGTCGAGATTTCCGTGATGAGGGAGCAGCAGCCTCAAAAGTGGACGACGATTCGCGTCGTTTCCCCCGGCCGGAAAACGGAGGGACGCGGACTGTTCCGTGATAGATCTGACCGCGTCATGCGCGTTTACCTCCAGCTATTTTTATATCGCAAAGTGACATAGTCTACTTTCGAGATATCGAATGAATTACCGTAGCAACGAGCCCTACGTAAGAAGCCGTACATTGAACTGCGTTCACCCAATCTCACATTTACGCTGACGAGAATTTTTTTAATGATCGATCGAGAAATTGGTCAAGCAGGAAAGAAAAAGAAAAAGAGCGAGTGAGTGAGAAATGTTTATCTTCGCGGTCGCCTCGTGTTCCTTTTTCCCGTATTTTCTAAAAATATCAACGCGCTCGCGCGCGACAACAGTGTATTAAGTCCGAGGCGACGGGACGGGCAATAAAAATGTTATCGTGCTCGTTTGCTTATGGTGAACCGATGCAAACGAATTCAGCACATTTAGATTGAAGGCTATCGGCGCCCGCGCTGCACCGTTAGACAGCTGTTAGATAGCCTCCGCGGTTATTTTCGCGTTAGCATTGTACGCGCGGTCACAGCTGGACTTCGATACAATAGGATTACGTGTTAATTAAAATTCTCAATCGAGATAACGGAGATGAGCGCGCACGTGCGCGCTTCTCTTAAGGGACATCTCGCACAACAACGAGGAGGAGGAGGAGAAGGAGGAGGAGGAGAAAAGCACGAATTCCGTTTCGCTGGTGTAGGAAGTATTTTCGCGAGATTGCGCGCGCGAATCTCTCATTAGCGCTGCGAGAGAAAAAAATTCGTCGACTTACGCGCGTCTAAATATAGGGCGTCGTCGGTAATACGGTAGCAGCGGCTTTGAGGCAGCGCTATGTCGAGATAACGATAAGAGTTAAGCCTTGCCGTGCGAGGTAGGATAAGGTGGCGGCGGTCTGTGTGTATACATTGTTTTGCCGCGGTTGAACGCCGAAAACTTCCAGCGATAAAAACGCTCCGAATCTACGGCGTATCGAGATTCCTGAGATAATCATGCGCGCCCAACGGCGTCTCTTTCTTTCTTTCTTTCTTTATTTCTCTCTCTCTCTCTCTTTCTCTTTCATATTTTCTTCGTTTTCTCTCTCAAGCTCTCGAGAACGACGGGACGCTGCGCTCTCTCACCGCTCGCCAGGATGCCAACGGCGTCGGCGGCGACCATGGCTGCTTCTTCGAGTTTTCTCCGCGTTATTTATCCGCGAGCGTGTCGACGTTATTACACCGCCGCCGGGACGCCGCCTCCGCGTACTCTCGCGGATATATTCCGTTGACGTTACGAAACTCCGACATGACATTTGCATCTTAATAAGGCGCGCCATAAGGTGCGTTTCAAAACGCGCACGACGGCGACGACGACGGAAAGCGACGCTCGTGATCGCGCACGGGGGACGTTTACCTCGCGACGGTGCCGCGTATATCTATCGCTTCGTCGTTTACTTGGATATTTTTCCAGCTTCTCTCTCTTTCTCTTTCTCCCTCTCTCCCTCCCCTTGTCGCCGTCTCGAGTATGTGCGCGCCGAACTCTCAGTCACAATTAAACACTCGGTAATTAAGAACGTAGGTAAAGAGCAACGATCCGGTATAATCTTCCTTCTTTATCCCGGGCTCTTAAAAGCGCAACGTGATGCACTCTCTCGTGTCGAGAGTCAGGGAGTTAATTATTCGTCAGGGAATCCAAATAACGCAACGTCGAGAAGGAATCATCGCTGTTGTCTAAGTATATATCTGTTTAGAGTGTGTGCAAAATCATCGTTGAGCACGGTGCGGGGTACTCTGTCTCATTGATTTGTATCGGCACTCGACGATCATTATCTTAATCAGATACTTCAACGTTTATTTTAGTGAGTGATACGTTAACCTTTTTCGCGTATCAAGGTAATACTCGAAAGCGTTGTTTTCGATTTAACGTTATCAGCTCGCGATACATCTCGCGAACGTTCGGAAGGATACAATTTACAAATACGGCGGATTACTCGTTGCCCTCTGTATTAAAGAAAAATCGGTGAACGTCGTAAATCTGACGTGGTGCCGAGTGATCGTTATTAATCCTAATTAGGGATCAAATAGCGAATAAAAATGTCGCGATAGTAGGATATACCGAAATTTTAGCACAATCCTTTTAGCAGTCATTTAACCGCGCATTTTTCAACGAATATGTGGCTCGTAAAGTTGCTGCGTATCTCTCTCTCTCTCTCTCTCTTCCCTCTCTCTCTTTCTCTCTCGTATTATTACGCCAAGTCCTTCAAATGTTTCACTCGCGAAGCAATGTCGCTTGTGCGTACCATCATTGACCGTGTTGTCGGTTTCGCGTTGGCTTGCTCGAAATTCGTTTCGGTCTCGTATTTTAACTTATATTAGCGACAGAATTTTCGACTCCCCCCCGCCGTGTGTATGCGCGCGTGCTCGTTAATAAAATTGCGTATCTAAAATTCGCGGTTAACAGCGGCACGCGGTTTAGCGCGTCGCGAAAGGCCGGCTCTCGGCCGCCACCGTTCCGTCGCGTACCTGTTCGCGTTAATTCCGAGATTACGGCCGCGTACCGGAGTAGATAAACAAATTATATACGGCGGATAATAGTCTCCCTCGCGAATCCTCTCCCTCTCTCTCTCTCCTGTACGTAACACAGATATGGAGTCAGGCGCGGCGCGAATAGATTTTTGTTCACGCATTATTATCTTGTCTTCTTGAGTAGTTGTGTTAATTACTTGAGACCGGAATGTTCGAATTGAATCCGTATCGTTGTTCTCTGTTTTTTGCGCACTGCACAATATTATTTATGCACCGAAATAATATCATTGTTTTTATATAAATCTTTTTTAATTTTATTGTTTCCAGTAGTGCGGGAATAAACTTGTCAGTTGATATTGCTGGGGAGCATACATAAATTTCGCTGAAAACGTAGTACATTTTAGTTCCTAAGATATAAACAGCACATGTGAGGATAAATTGCTGCGGAGTGTTTTCTCCGGTTACAAAATTCTTTTCGTGCACATATTTTTACTGCACATTCAAAGGCAAATTATTTATTATCAATTACCGTCGCCTCGTATCATTGTTCGAATAATTTGAGCAAGCATAAAGAGAGCAAAAGAATTTGCAAGGAAGCAAGCATTGAGTGTCGTGGAAGATTCACCGGATGAATAAACATTTTTGTAAGCGTGTTCCCTCCGGACTGTGTGCTGCGGACAATGAACTTTGACCTGCTGTATCTCAGAGCAAATTCCATTTGCAAAACCACACGCTCTCACAACGTGTGGCCAATACCATCTGACAAAAGTCGTTCGGCCGTGTCCTTCTGGATGCTCGTTTGTGAATTCCGTTATTCCGACTGTCGACTCCTTTCCCGACAAATTCGCCGGTTGTCCTCGAGCCGCCTGCGCTAGCACGAGGTACGAGCACGTAATACAAGTATAACGTGCACAAGGAATAATAACACACACGCAAGACGTGTATAATGATACACACGACGAGTAGCGCGTTTTCGCAATATATAATTGTAGCTTCCCCCGTACATGCATATTCAGTCGAGCGGATAACACACT